AATGGTAGAGAAACATCTCTGACTGCTGCGAACACAATCCCAAACAGGCCCTACACTCCTACTGCAGTCAATCACCTCTCTTCAAACTCCCCAGGAGCTCCCAGGAAACTACACCAGCCTGGGGAGCAGCCCAGGCTCTTCCACTTGGCAAGCACAGCTAGAGGAGACTGACCAGGAGGTTGGATGTGGGAGCTCCCACTCTGGAAAGGGCAGGAAAATGGTTCAGTTTCCTTCACAACTTCAAACTCAGCCACTGGTTTCTCCTGCCAGCTCTCCAGCTTGGGGCAGCTGAGTTTGTTCCCATGGCAAAAGGGCAAGTTTCTTTTTTTTTGCTCTTGGGTATCTCAAGAATGGCTTCAAAATTTCCCTGCTTTGAAGTTCACCACCAAACACGGATGTCCAGGCTCCTGAATTGAGGACCTCCTCACAAAAAGACAGTAGCTAAACCCAGCCCTGCTTTGCTCCTTTCTTAAAGGACAACCATGCCACCAGCTGTAGCCCTGCCAATGATCTAAGCCTCCCCTTGGTCACAATGCACTGAGGGCTGGCAACAAGCAGCAAACACCAAACTCAAGCCAAAGCCTGAAGCACTTGAGAAATCCCTAGAGGAAGACAACTTGGAACAAAGCGTCCCTCTCTCTCCCTCCCACGGCCACCCAAGACTGACCCCAGCGCCTGCTACCAGTGGTCCCTTCTCGAGGTACAGAACAAACCCCATGCATCCCCCCCTTCTCCATCTGCTAATGGCTTCCCTCTACCCAGGCTGAGCCTCCCCCAGCCTGAGCGAATGGCAGGGAATTAGCATTAAAATGATAGTTTGCTATTAGCGGTGCCTTGGCTCCCTATCACGCTCCAGGAACAGCAAATGACAGGCTGTGATTTCCCTGCCGTGATGCAGGGGAGAGGGAGCAATGGCAGCCAGAAGCACTGAAGTTACCCAAGGAAAGTTTTAGGCTCATCTCTCCCACCCCAGCAGCCCCTTCCCTTTGCCATCCCCGTCGTGCTCATCCACCATACAGGCAATCCTACAAACAGATGGCACCTGGGCAGGAAAGCAGACAAATTGGCTCCCACCTGCAGGAGCACTAAGAGCTTTCAAAGCAGACGAGCATTCACTCGCCAGGAGCCCTGCGGTATGGAGATGCCAGAGGAATCTGCTATCGCTTGCCTTCCTCCCTCCTCGCTATGCAATGGTTCCTGCTGCATCCTTGCCTGGTCGCAAGCACACAGCTGGCTCCTCCTGGGAGCCAGTGGCAGGAGGGGATGGTCGCTGCTCCCGAAATCAGGTGTCTGGAAGAGGTAATTGAGGCTGAGCATCAACAGAGCGATGCTTTTTTCACATCAGCACAATGCTTTGGTTTGGAGGCTCTCAGCTAGCCTGAAGCGAGAGGGTTTTCCTGGGCCCCCGCTGAACATCCATCTGCTTGTCAAAAAACCAGCTCAGCTCAAACTGCCTGCTCTCTCCTCCTGCCAAAGTGGGGGTCCGCCCTCCCAGAAACTTCCTCTCCTTGACCAGATAGTTGTGGCAAGAGCACGGAGAAACCCATTTCATTTTCTGCCTTCCTGCTCCTCTGAGCCCACCTGGCTGAGAGCTTCTTAGTACATGGAGGCCAGGGAAGAAGCTCGTGTACCAGACTGCAGGAAACCAAGAGGCAGGAGGAGGTGAGCAAATCCATGCGTGTCAAGGCAGGTTGTCATCTCCTTTTGGGTACACAGGTGACCCTGCAGAGTTACGGCATCTGAGCATCTCAAAGCTGGTGCTTTCCTCCTTGTAGAGCCCCATACTGCTGGTCATCTACAGCAGGGAAAGGGGATGCACCAAGGCCAGGATGTGCAGGAGCACTTGGGTGCTTTCAGCACTTTCTACGTGGACTCGCACACAACACTGTTGAAAACATCCATTCAAAATTACCTTTTAAGCCACTCTGGTAAGGTCAGACAATCCCCTCCCCTCTACCTCATCCCTACCCCACTCCAAAAGCACCTTGACCAGCAAGTGAAGGCAAGAGTCCTCAAGCCCCAGCCTGGCAATCGGCTTGCAATGGGCCTGGGAGGCGAGATACAAAAGGGAGAGGAAAAAGGTTGGTAGCAAAAAGCAGGGTAAAATGGTTACCCCTTCCCCAGCATTCCTGTCAGCAGCTGAGATGTGGGAGCAAGGAGAGGACTTGTCTGATGATGGATGGCAGAGAACTGAACCTTGGCAAGGTGGAACAGGAGCAGAAGGAAGCACTCCCAAAGGCGATTCTCACACCTCCTTGGGATAAGAAAAACAACCATCAGAGGCAGCAGCAACGAAGGAAGGGAAAACACTCTTCTCCTTGCACATTTGGTATTCATCTCCGGCCTGTCAGAGGGGGCCACGATCCAACCGCACATTTGTATATTCACTGAGCCGTACACCCGGCTCAGCGGACTCCTGACAGATGCAGATGGCAAAGCCATTTTTCATAAGGTGAGGGAAAAAGGGAAAAAGAAAAAAAACCAAAAACCAAAAACAAAGACAGGCTCAGGCATCAGCTGGAAAAGATGCAAGACAGGACCTGGGCTAATAGAGAACCAGAATCAGATTAAACTCTTGGATCTTTAAGTGCACAAAGAGGCCTGGCCCCTGCCTCTATTTTCTAGTGTGGCCTGGCAGCAGCAGCTACCTTCATTCTCTCCTCTGTAACCAGCTGGAAAACGAAAGCTGGACCCAGAACAGCACTAAGGCTTTGCTGAACTGGCCCTCGAGGACAGAAGGCTGGCAGAGGGGCTGCTGGAGCAGTGTGGGCACAGGCACTCTTCTCGGAGATTAGCTCCTGTTTAGAGGAGGTGAGAGACAGCCTGCAGGAAACATTAACCGTTAACACATGTTTATTTGCCCCTCAGACCTTGACTTAGTTCAGGCCTGGCCCCCAAAGAGCACAGATGGCCCCTGGGGCTCTGAAGGGACATCCCTGACAGACCGCCTACCGGTACAAGGATGCCAGCATGGCAAAGGACCACTCCGTGCAATGGTCCCCATGATGGCAAACACTGCAGCTCCCAATGGCCCCGATTTGTCTCAGAGAATGACAAGGGTTTGCCCTCTGCCCCAGGTCACCCACGCAGCAAAGAGGCATCAGTGACACAGAGCTGCTTACCGACACAGCACGACAAGTGATGCTCAGCACAGTATACATCGTCCCTTGGGCAGCATGTATGCATGCCCCGCTTGGCAGTGGGAGCCAGTGGTTTTTGATGTAACCCAAGGGGAAGGAAAAGGAAGAATTACCCTCACAGAGGGAAATATTTCACCTCTGCCAGTGACATTCTGCTATTGTCACCGCCAGCCATAACATCACCCTCTTGATGTGAAATCTAAGTTGACAGTGATACATGAAGGGAGCAGAGAGGGCGGCAAACACTGCCCAGCCCTCTTTGTAACCCCAAATCTCTCCTGGCTTCCAGCCTCTGCACAAAGCAGAGCCCGTACCTCATCATCAGGTTACTGAGCAAGTAGATCTTCCTCTTGCAGAGCCATGGGGTAATCTTTCCTTGCAGTTATCCATCCTTCTGGGCAACTCTGAGGAGGATTTCATTTTGATCTCTGTTGCATCCTCTTCATTTCTGAAATGAGAAACACATGCAGAGGCCAACATCTCTCTCACAAATCAATACATGTGCCCATAAGCTGAAGTCACCAAAGCCTGAGGAGCTTCTGGTGCCAAAGCCCAGGTACTTTCAGACTCATCAGAGGTGCATCGAGCACCATTGAGCCCTGCTGCCTGTGGCATTTCCAGATGACATTCGCTCCTCTTGCCCTGGGAACAGACGAGCTTGGGCCTGGGCAGCAAGGCTTGGAGAAGGTTACTGCTGAGACCTGGTAGAAATGTCATCCAGCAACATATGCTTCAAGAAAGATTCATTCCCAGGCAGCCTGGCTCCATAATAAAAGCATCAGAGCAGCTGACTTGCCTCCCCTCAATTTCATTGCCTCCAGATTTATCCTGTCTGAGGTCTCTCCCTCTGAAAGCCAGCACGTGCCTTTCCTTTCAATAGGCTGGCACTGAAACTCAGCCAACTGAGATTGTAGGAGAAAAAGGAAAACAAGGCAGGTGAAGGGTTCAGGAGAAAAAAGCTCAGGAGCCAGGTTTTCCTCTAATTTTGGCTGCTTGCAGTTCTGAAAGGGAAGAGGGGGAAGTGAGAGGTACCTTAATGTGAGAATGCTCCAAAACCAGAAGCCACCTGGTTTTGTGTCCCAAACCAATGCCCTAGCTGCCAGGCCGTGTCGCCTCCGTCTCAGGAAGCTCAAATCACATTCCTGATAAAACCCATGCCAGAAGACATAAACATCTCTGACCCTGTCACGCTCCAGGCCAGTGAGCCTCTTCTCAGAGGGCTGTGCATGTGGTGGGCACACAGAGAGCAAGGAGAAGAGGGAGATGAGGCTCCCTGCAAGTCAGAGTCTTGGGGAGCGCTGAACACTGGCTTACCCTCACCACAGAGATGTGACGTTAATGCAGTATCTCAGGCAGCCCCAAAGAGAGGACGGTCTTCAGGGAGTTAAAAAAGAGAGAGAGAAAGATACGTTAACGGTCCTTTGCAAAGAGCTAAAAATACCTAGAATAGCCAGGGTTTCTGTTGGTTCTTTTTTTTTTTTTTTTTTCCCCCACAAAGGAATGTGCCACACAAATTACATGATTTCCCTCCAACCTGCAAGATAGGACCAGGAAAGGCATCCTTTAGCTGCAAGTGAAAGCGATGGAGCCTGCTGTTGTCAGGAGCACACCAGCCCCAGGGGGGCAAGGTGGGGGATGGCAGACACCGACTGCATGAATCCTGCTGGCTAATTCCCAGTAACCAGGACAGACAGGTCTGTGCCAGGCACCCAGCTGGGGTGCAGGGTGTGTCTCTCCAACACAACAGAGACATCAATAGCAGAAGTGAGTCCTGGGCATCTCAACTGCCCTGGGGGATGCAGACTAAGAGCAGATGCCTGCGATAGTGGGCTGTGGAACAGCTTTACATGGAACGGAGAAAGCCTCTGCTACCCAAAAGGCAGTCCTGTTACATTTGCAAAAGGTGTTGTGGGAGGCAGAGCTCATGATCGCTCTGGACCCTTGGACCTTATCACCCAAGGACATCTTGCCTGGCCCATGCTACGGTGCCCATTCAGGTACATACCTGCAATCCAGCACATACACAGGCTTGCAACCTAGCACCCATTTCCTCCATTCAACTGACAGCCAGTTTGCTTGCAGCAGTGAGCGCTTGGCAATAGGCAGGGAAAAACCAAAGCCACCCCCACCAGGCTATAAAAGCGCTGCTTCACCATGTCACAGCTGTTTCTCACATCTGGATGCAGACAACACTTAAAGTCTCACAGCTGGCACCAGCTCCTCGGTTAGCATTTCCCTATCCTGTTAACGCCAGGCAGGGGAGAGGTCCAGCAGCTGAGGTGAAGGGGCACTTCATCTTTGTCAAGTTCTCCTCCGCTAATGAAAATGTTTCTCCAGCATGTCCTCGGGAAGGTTTCCTTCAGCTCCAGCCCCTGTGTGATTGAAGGCTAATCTCTGTTACTCTTGGCTGAATGGCAGCCCACGAGGAAGGTGATGTATTGTGTTTCCATTCAACTCGACATTTAATGGTGCTGGCAAAAGAAGAAAAAACGCCAAATGTTTCCAGATTGCAAGTGAAATCTTCCCATAATGTGGAGAGAGGTCAGGGCAGGCAAGAGGCCTCACAGACTGGGACCAGAGTGCACCCCTGTAAATTCAACCTCACTTCAAAGGGCCATTTCATGTGCCAGTGTGCCTCCCTCCCAGAGGCAGTCCAGCTGATCACATTGCCACAGGAGGCAACGTGTCCTGCAGCCACCCCGTGGGACATGACTGGCTTCCAATGAGTTCCCCATCATCACATCTGGTCAGTGCAGGGGCCTGGGAGAAAGGCCAAGGTCGGGAGTGCAGAATATTTGGGGCCAGGGAGGAAAGCATGTGGCGGGGGCTCAGTACTCACAGGTGGTGGCCTTGGCTCCTCTGGCTGACTTTGAACTAGTCTCTGAAGCCTCAAGATGTGAAGTTTTCCAATCTGCGGTGTTAGCTTCCTTTTAAAATGCTTGGAGACCTATGGATGAAGAATGGAGAGAAAAAATTAGGATGACAATCCTCTTGCTAGTGGTGCTGCTCGCACTCAAGGAATCGCCTGGGTCCATAACACACCAATCTCTCTCCTCTGCTCCAGAGCCACAGCTCTGCAAACACACTCCAGACCATCCCCACCAACTGTTGCTCTCCTACTGTTTCTGCTCTTACTGGAACAACCCAGTTACCCATCATGGTGCTCTCTGCACCCTCCACCTACAATGCTTTGCAGCCTTTCTCCTCCTTTTTTGCCCCTACAAAACCACCAGCATTTGTTGAGGACACCCAAACACAAGACAACCTCTCCTGTTTGCTTTCCCTTCTCCTCCTCCACATCTCCCTGTCTTCTCCCAGCCCTGCCTGCCACTGGCACTGGATGTTGGGGTGCTTACCATGGACCACACAAAATGCATCCTCCAACAGCTAAACCTGGAGGAGAAGAAGAAATCAAGAAAACAGACAGGAGGAAAAAGAAAAAACTTCCCATTACTGACAATTAGCTCTACTTAAGGCTCACCCACTGTGCACTGTGCCCTAGACACAATTACTCTGGTAGGTGAGCACACAGGGTGGCACTGCACGCACAATACACAGATCAGCACACAAGGTACTTGTTGAAGGTATTCCAAACTGGAATACCGTCGCCTATCTGGGCACTAATGGCTGCAGCCCTTTCAGGGGCCTCCTGTAGTCCAGTCAAATCAGGGATGGTGCTTTTCTCTGCTCCCATAAGCTGTGGCCCAAGCCCTCTGCAAAGGTACTTGCTCGGAGCTGAAGTCCAGCATGGGAAATTGGCCTAGGGTGGTCCATCCTCATTCCCAGACCCACCTGCCCAGGTTATCTGGCTGGTTTTTCTTCCCAGGAGGGATGCCAGCTACAGACAGCACCATGGGCTGCCTGTTGACACAGTCGCAGACAAGGCAGCTCTTGCTGACAGAAACGCCTTCCCCTCCACGGAAAGACATGCTTTGCTCCCAGCCAGGGGCAAGGCAGCAGCACCCAGCACGCTGCCGCAGTGGAGGATGCACTCAGCCAGCTGCTAATGCTTCCTACTGTCTTGGAGCAAAGGGATGAATTAGCTTTTATTAGCTCTTGCAAAGAGCACATCACTCCTGCCCTCTCCTCCTCACACAGACTCAGCTGTGCCGCAAGTGAAGCAGAACCAACTTACCTCTGTGCCGGCGGCCCCAAACTCCTGTTGGGTCTTGTATAAATCCTATAAATCTTAAATCTTAGACGAGCTGGGAGTTAGGATAAAGCAATCCTCCTAAGCGTGCGGCAGGGCTCTCGCTGCCCAAAAGTACTTTAAAAAAGACAGATGCTTGGCTTTTACGTCGAGATCTCTCAGGTGGCACCATGCATGGCCCAAAGGAGGGTATGGTCTCCATGCCAGCAAAGCCAGAGCTACTGCACAGTCCCTACTGCTGACACCCGAACTCGGGGTTGTTATCTGGGAGGGTGGTCTGTGGTTTCCCACTGAGCACTCCTGCCACAAAATGTATTCCTGGCCCCCAGCACCCAGCCATCAACACAGCTGAGGGATGGTGCTGCTCCAGAGAAGTCTCTCTGAAGTCGCTCTGGGGCTTGTTAGCGGGGTGATAAAGGGGATGAATGGCCTCAGAGAAATGCTCTGTCTCGTGCTGTGGTATTCATTATCCTTTAGCTGGGCAATTCTTCACACCAGCCAGGAGCTCTGGGCTTGCTTGTTTATCGTCCTCAGGGGCTGTTTTCCACAAGAGGCCACACTCTGCACTTGTGCTCATTGCCCGAGGCAGCTCGAACACGCCTGAAGAGCCCCCAGCATGGCAGCCCATGCAAGACGGCTGGGGGCAGAGCAGTTCTTCTCCCGGGTAGTCTCCGAGCTCATCGCCTTCTTCCCACACAGCCAGCTTGCATTCCCAAACTCACAGTTTGGTGAGCTGAGCCACAGCTGCCCCCCCACCCCAACCCCAGATCTGCAGGAAACAGAGCTGGGCACATTTTCAGCCTAATTTCCTAAGTGCAAAGCATATGCAATCCTGCTGCATCAGTCTGTCCTCTGCCCACTCCTCAGCAACTTCTGACACTGCAAACAGATTTCAACCTGATCTGACAGAGAGACAGAGGTCTCAGAGACAGTCAGAGTCTATAAATTTCATGGGAACAGACTGTCAAACAGAGGAGAGACATTATTAGCATCTTCCAAACTGTAGTGTATCATCCCTTATTAGACCTCAGACAATCTGCGTGGGAGAGAGAGAAATGCTATAAATATCCTGGTAAGGGGAAATGCTCCATTCAGCATACACAGCTTACTAGACACCAGAAAACCCAAACCCAAGCTATATATCCACAGGAGATGAGGCTTCATGGATCCCACTGCACACAGCACTAATGGCAGAAGGTTTTGAGTATGCTTGACGGATAGGCGAGCCAGCCAGCTAAGATGTCACTTCGGCCTTTGCAAAGCCTCTAGAAATCGACTGTGCGCTCCTCCCTTGCCATTCTTCCAGTGACCAAGCCGAGGTCCCACTGCACTTCCAGCTTAAACTGCCATCCCAGACTTCTGGATGAGTTTGAATGCTCCCTGACCATTTCAGAGAGACGTGTCCAGCTCCACGGGGGAACACTGATGGGCAGAGCAGCTCCCACACCCCTCCCATTGCCTTTCTGCCACACCGATGGAGATTTCATCTTCCAGCAAGATGTTTCATCCACAGGCTGCTGCCAGCAAATGGCAGGAAGGCAGGCCAGAGTCTGAGCAGCCACCCGGGGAGCTCACAGCAGTATCACTTACACATCAAGCTACCCATTAGTGGGTTGACTGATTAGTGGTGCTTGTTATTCCAAGCGAGAGGGAACTTGTCCCTCTACACACAGGTCCTTACTGCAGACAGACGCACTCACCAAGCCAATGCCAGCACAGAGCTGGCAGGCAGCAGCAGGGGTGCAAAGCTCAGCCTTGCACCAGCAGGACAGAAGGAGCCCCAGCTACCCTTCCTCTTTCTCCTAAAGGCTGAAGGGGACACAACAGCCTCTTGGTTCTCCTCTAAAGCCAATTAAACAATTCACAAGCAGTGTGATACAGTCTTCGGAGAGCAACACCAAGAAGCCATTTACTAGAGCTGCAGGCTGGCCTTCCTTGCTCACCTCCTTTCAGCAACCCAATTAGGAGACTCTCATTAGGCTGTTCCAGGGTGGAACCCGGAGTTGCTTTTGCCGGGAACTCCTGTCACTCATGACTGCTCTCCGGTACAGGAACGATTAGCAGAAAGCATATGGTACACGACAAGGCTCTGCAGGTGACCGGAGCTTGCTAAGGCTGAGCCCAGCATTTCAGTGCTGTCTGACCCCGCCACAAGAAAGCCAAACCCCATATGCAGTTTGGGGACAGAGCGGAGTAATCCCTCTGCTCATTTAGGATCCACACTGACCCAGTCGTTATCTGTTCAGAGTCATTTCAAGCCTCAGGCATCCCAGAGCCCTGGAAGTAATTGGGAAGTGGGAAATAGCCTTTTTCCCTCCAGCTCCTATGTGACACTGGCCCAGCTGGCCAGACACATTTCAGGACTTCTCCGATTCACCCAGTAAAGGTCAAGTCCCAGGAGGTGCCATCAGCCTGGTGGATCACGTATCACTTGGACCTGCAGGGCTTAAGCTCCACAAAAAGAGAATTTAAGCATGCACTACAGCACATCCTTTATTCCAAAAAAAGGATTTACACTTCAGGGGTTCTTGACTCCCTGTTCTGCCCAACAAAAGGAGTGATGGGGATTGAATCCAGGCTTGCATTCTTAAAAAAAAAAAAAAAAAAAAAAAAA